AAACATAGAAATTAGATAAAAATAAAGCTATAAAACTGAAATATTCAAATTGACTATTTTAATGTGATAGAGAAGGAAAATTTCATTGAAACTAAATTCCAAATGTTGTCTAATGTCTGGATTTCTTATTCCTTTTTTTCGGATTTAGTTGTTCTGATGTGACTTCAATATCTCTAATATCTATTCACCTTAGAATAATTTTCAAGACAGTGCTTCTCAACCTGTGGGTGATGACCATAGAGAGGTCATCCTAGATATCCTGCATATCAGACATTTACATTACAGTTCAAAACAGTAGCAAAATTACAATTATAAAGTAACAAAAATAATTTTATGGTTGGGGGTCACCACAACATGAGAAACTGTATTAAAGGGCTGAAGCATTTGGAAAGCTGAGAAACACTGTTTCAAGGTGATCTTAATGTTTTAAAAATTTATTATTTATCACAATTTACTAACTCTGTATCCCAGATGTATCCCCTTCCATTTTCTCCTCCCAGTCCCAACCTCCCTCCCTCTTTTCCCTCTATGCCCCTCCCCTAGTCCACTGATAGGGGAGGCCTTCCTCCTCTACTATCTAACCCTAGTCAATCAAGATTCATCAGGACTGGCTGCATCCTGTTCCTCTGTGGCCTGGCAGGGCTTCACCCCACCTGGGGATGGTGATCAAAGAGCCAGTCACTGAGTCCATGCTGCTGTTCCCCTTACTAGGCAACTCACTTGGAGACTGAGCTGCCTATGTACTACTTCTGAGATGGGAGTCTAAGTGCTCTCCATGCATGGTCTTTGCATGAACCCTGTACAATGAAAGATCTTCTGGAGGTATCTACATCCCTTTTCTTAAGCTGTACTATAAAGCAACAATAATAAAAAATGCACGGTACTGGCATAGAAACAGACTGATGGATCAATGGAATCGAATTGAAGAACCATAAATAAACCCACACACCTAAAGATACTTGATTTTTGACAAAGAAGCCAAAACCATACAATGGAAAAACGATAGCATCTTCAACAAATAGTGCTGTTGTAAGTAAATGCCTACATACAGAAAAACAAGGTATACTTTAATGAAAGCTAAATGAAAGGATTGTCTATGACAGAGGAGACTGTCCTTCTATAACAATAACTCATGCAAGTGATAGGAGATACTTGTTGAGGAGACGCCCAGAACATTTTTATTTCTACTTTTCTTTCCCTTCCATTAGAAATATGTTGATGCAATTAAATTTAATAGTGAGATTTTCATTTAGCAACCAAATAAAATTGAGGAATTAAATATGGAAAAAAGAAATATGTTGATGAAATAAAAAGTCTTTTTAACAAAAAAATTACACAATGTATTTTGATCACCCTCCCAATTAATTCCAGATCTCCACCACCTCCCTAGCCACCCAACTTTGTTATTTCTCTCTCTCTTTTAAAAACAAGGCAAAAACAAAAACAAAAACAAGAAACACATCTATAAAACCACCGAAATGAAAACCAAACACACAAGTAAAAGACCAATGAGACAAAAAACATGTACGTAAAGCAAAAATGTGCTGTGCTACTATTCCTGCGATGGGCACGGGTCTTATCCTAAAGTGTGGTTAATATACCCGGTGAGATTTCACTATAAGACTTAAGTTTTCCTTTACAATCAGGTACCAATTGCAGAAGGCTTCTTGGTTAGAGGTGGGAGTCCTATTCATTTCCTCCTTTTCAGTGCTGGGACTCTGTAGAGCTTCAACCTGGCCAGGACTTGGGCATGCAGCCACAGTCTTAGTGAGTTCAAATGTGTATGAGTCCTGTTGGGTCTAAAGGACACTGTTCCCTTGGAGTTATTAATCACACCTGTCTCTTAAAATCTTCCTGCCTCCTCTTCTACATAGATTCTTGAGCTTTGAATCAAGAGGGGTGAGGGGTGGATAAAGACATCCCATTTAAGACTGAGTGCTCCAAAGCCTCTCAATCTGCACATTGTTGATTGGTGGGTCTCTGTTTGGTAAGTGCTTCCTCAATTTCTCTTTCTGTTGCTAAGAGAATCTGGATCCCAATGGAAGCACTGATTTCACTGAGAACATAAAGTAAATAGAGATAAATAAAGAGGAAAATGAATTACAGTAATGAACTAATTAGGTTTGAGGCAATGAGCTTGTGACATTGTCAAATGGGCTTGTGAAAGTGTCATATAAACAGAAAAAGGCTAAAAAGGATGCAGTTCCTGGAGAATTTCTTGGGTTCTCTTTTGACTGTGTTAAGTTTGAGATACTTATAAACCAGTGATACTAAAAGCAAATGAGGCATTCACTGCCTGTAAGTGAGTATGTTTAATTCCAAGAACTCTGACTCCACATACTTGATGTGTTCTTGACTTCTGAAAGAATTTACTCATCAGTCAGTTAAGAAGTAGTAGCATATGTTGCTATAGGACACAGGGATTTGGGGATTAAAGATACAGTCACTGTTCACAAGGAATGAATGGGAGATTGGGAGAGAGTTATGTAAAAGGAAGCCTGTTACAGAACAGCATGTTACAAACAATGAGAGTGAGTACAAAATGTTCTTCAGTCATAGAAAAGAGACAAGATTCATGTCTCTAGGAATCTGGTAAGAATTCACAGAGGATCTGGAAGAGACAGCTCAACATAAAGCATTTTTCTATCATGTGCAATTCTCTAATGAAAATAAAAAATCCTCAGCAATGAAAATAAAAAAGAATTCACAGAGGAGATGACATTTGTGCACATTGGAAGATTATTTTCTCTACCCCCACAGTGTAATAAAATCACGGAGGAAGCTTGTTGAAAGAAATTATTGGTTTCCAGCTCTAAACTTTGGATTCAGAACTCCTTGAACTTGAGCCCTAGAAAAGTTCTCTGGTAATTCTGATGCATAGACATGTTTAGGGAACCCTATTTGGTGAAGTTTTGGGTAGCATATTAAACAGGGTTCCCAAGAAGAACAGAACTAACTGAAAGAATATTTTCTATTTAAATGGGTTGCATTGTAACTATTTACAGTTTTTACAAGAATGACTTACTACCAATAGGGGCTGGGTAGCCTAGCAACAGCCATGAACATGCTGGAGAACATGAGAACCTGGTAGCTGTTTGGTCGATGAAGCTTGATATCCTGAAAGCACCAGGCTTATGCTTAAAGCCTGGAAGATTCCTGGAGAGTTGCTATATTGAGTCTACACTGAACAGAACTCAAAGAATCTAGATTCAAATGTAAGCGAAGAGTGGTGGTAGCAGCAGAGTTAGGCACAGTCACTAAGGAGAATCGAAGGGAAGCAGATTAACACTGCTTTCTCGTCAGACCTCTTTATATATGGGTCATTTCATGAAGATGTTGCCCACTCTGAGGAAGGTTCTTTCTCAGCTGCTCCTTTCAGGAAATACTTTCCCACACTCACCCAGATATAATTCTCCCGGCTAATTTGTGATCCAATTAAGTTGACAACAAAGACTAATGGTCATAAGTCTACTCCTTCTCAACTTGATATCCAACCACATTTTTTACTATCCTTAACTTTCAAATGAAGACAATAGCAAGATCATAACTCTCTAATGTTGCTTAACTTTCTTATATCCAAATGAGGATATACTATTCTTTCCCCAGAGCAGATGATAAAGTTCTTTAAGAAATGCTTAGCCTTTTTAATAGTCCAAAACTTTAAAACACTACTAACACCTAACTACTGACCTGTCTCAATTGATGTATTAAATGATAAATGAATATAAGAAAAGGACCACACATATCCACTATATACATGTATGCGTAAGTGCAAATATGCATAAACATATTCTTCATTTGTTCTTGACCAGAAGACCAAGAAGTGACATACCATAGACGGTAACTCAGCACATCTTGGTTCTTAACCTAAAAGGGTTACCCACACTTTCATTCCTGAAGTGTCTGGGTCATTTATCATTTTGTCTGAATTACTGTAGTTTCCCATTGACCTTAATCACAGGACATTGTAATATCAAGAGATGCCCTAAAGGATCTCCTATACTATAGACATTATCATCATTATCTCCATTCTCGAGAAGTGGTCTGATATGTTCTTGGCAGTCTGAATCAATCACTTCTTCTAACATTATTATTCCTTTCTTGGCCTGTTGGCTTATATGCACCAGTAGTCTGATGTGGTCAAGGAGAAATTTTAGCTTGCTGTTTAAAGGGAGATTCTTGGGATTTCTGCCAGAAGTACTCTCCATTCTGGAAGCAAGACTTATAGGCCAGCAGAGCATAACATCATGGGAAAAGAATGCAAATATTTTGCTAGTAGGTCAACAGGGGTATTGGTAAGTAGAGCCATTCTATTGGTATTCCCTGAATCTTAGCTGTGAGAGAACTAGTAAAATATATTGGATGCTGATCTGGCCCTAGCATTTCAGGTTATTATCACCCAGTTTGTGCTATAGCTGTGTCTTTAAAAAGGTCATTCTGCAGGAGTACTAGAGGGGGAATAATAGGTTATGAGTGATATCAAGTGGGAAATGGAAAAATGCTGGGGAGAACTTTAATTGTGAAGAGGGAAATACATAATGAGAGGAAGGAAGGAAGAAAATAAGTAACACTGAGGATATTTGAAAAATCCATAAAGAATCACACTTTAGTTTTTATTATTTAAAGTTACATATGATACATATAAGTGTATGTGTATATACATGTATTACTTAAAGAAAGAGTCTATCAACACTTCACCAAACAGCATAATTTCTAACTTCATTCTAAATATTTATCCTTATACCCACAGATAACTGTAGCTCTGACTCCTCATCAAAAATATTTCTCTTTACAGCAGACAGACACCATTACAGAAATCCGCAACTGATCAAAATGCAGAGAACAACTGATCATGGGGGTGCTCAGTCTGAAATTATACATTTACAGTACAACCTCCACACTTAAGACTCAGGGAACATGGACGGAGAGGTGGGAGAGGATTTTATGAGTCAGAGGATGAGAAAATCAGCTCGGAGATTGTGTCTCAGAAATCACACGAGCCTCCTCCTAGAAGCTTTGAGGTGTTGTTGCTGTGCCACATGTATGTCAGTAGATAGCAGAGAGAGGAGCTCTGTCTACACTTAGTGGTCTGCCCTATGAACATCTGAATTATTAGTACCTGAACATTCCCTGAAAAAATGTGAGCCTGAGTCAACCACCAGGCCCTCACAACACAGGCCCTGATGGTTCCCAGGACTGGGAACAAGCTGCAAGCTGAAGACTAGAAGAACCCCACTTGACACTGAGGGCCCCGGGCAGGAGTGAGCCCAAGATTGACAATCATCGCATGGGGCCACTTGGGCAGAGCAGGATAGGAGTGATCCTGAGACGGCCAGGATACTGGTACCATGGGACCTGGATACAGAGCTAGTATGAGACAACTACCAGGTGGCATGCAGGCCTGAGAAGGAGGCAAGCAGACCATACCTGAGATGACCCTTGCGTGGTGCCATAATGCACAAGTGGGGCACAGCACTCCTGAGACCAGTCCTGAGACAACCCCAGATACTTAAAGACCCTGGGCATAACTCAGAGGAGCAAGTAACTGGTAGAGAAATGAAAGAGAAAGAGAAACAGAAGGATGTGGGCACAATGAAGAGAGGCAGAACTGGAGACTTGAGGGTAGTGAAGAACAGCCTGATGTGAGTAGCTGGTGAAACCACCTGGAACCATGGTAGGGTCCTAGCTTGTGCTGTCACAGGGGACCACATCTGGGTTTGTAGCATTGCAGCATCAAAGGCCAGGCAGATGTCCCTTATCTGGGTTGCGACCTGGGGACATATTAATATCTGAGGATTGTACAGAACTAACCCTACCCCTCACCTGGCCATTGTGGAAGAGTTGGCCTCAAGATTTGAGAGGAGACCTGACCCCGACCCTAGCCAGTACTCTGGAGAGTGGGTCCTACACATTGCAGGAGCTGCAGGTGAGCTGACTCCTGAGGATATGAGCAGGGGAGACCAGAAACAACCAATCATCTTCCCAGTGGTGGTGTGGATGAGGGAGAAATACCCTTCTCCTCCCCTCCCCATTCACTAACTGCAGCAGATGGGATACCTGGTCCTGGGGTCATGAGAGCAGGAGAGCTGGCCCTGACCCTCACTAGCTGCAGCACTCAGGAGAGTGGGCCCTGCACCTCACCTGGGCATTACAGTAGAGCTGACCCTGGTGGTGGGAGGGGTGCGGGGTAGGCTCAGTGCAGGTGAGCTGGCGTGAGGGCATGAGCATGGGAGAGCTGCCCCTGCCACTTGTCTGCCATAAAGTGACATGGGCAAGGGAGAGATGACAGCCTCTCACCGCAGGATGGAGGTCATCATAACAGGAAAGCTGGCCCTGACCCTCACCTGCTGCAGCACTCAGGAGAGCAGGCCTTGCACTTTTTCTGGGCAGCACAGTAGGGCTCGCCCTGAATGTGGGGGTTGCAGATGATCCAGCCTGCAAGGGGGTGAGTGTGGGAGAGCTGGCCCTGCCTCTTGTAATGTTAATGAGGAAGAGATACCCTCTACTCCCTTGTCCTTCACCATCTATGGCAGGCAGGAGAGATATTCCTAGGTTCATGAGCGTGGGAGAACTGGCCATATTTTTTACTGACCGTAACAATCAGGAGAGCAGGCCCTGCACCTTTCCTGGGCATTAGAATAGATGCCTTGATCTCTAGGTTTACATAACAATGCAAGAGTTCCTTCCTTTTATGTGGGTTTCAAATCAGATCAGAAAGTGGTTACATTATTCTCGTAAGAGTCACTATTACACTAAAGGGCATATTACATTCAGTAGGTCATTATTGTAGAGCAGCTGACTAAGACTGTTGATGATCTTTTCCCTCCCAACAACCTGCATAATGCAGCTCCTGTGACTGTGAAGGTTAGCTGGAAAGGAGGAAGTTTCCAGTTCATCTCCAGCTTGATTCCTCTAGGAACTGTTACCAAAGTCTGCAGTGTCTTCAACAGCAGGGCCTCACCATCAAGTTCTGGTGAGCAATCAAGAGCAATGGCAATATCCTGTATACTGGGTTTATTCGGGGGAAGGGGGAAGCTTTGGGGACTTCTTGGACCAAACTCATGGGGACGTGTCACACACCTGGCACTGGAATTTCTGTTTTATAACCCATAGTTATGGGAAGAGACTAATCCATTCTTAATAGGCATCTCTGTTCACATTCTTTTTTAATTAGATTGTGTTTTAATAACCGAGGTTTCTATACGGCCTTTTGAAATATTCTTAGTTTTGATTGCCCTCCTCCTTTCTGGTCCTCTTCCCTATCCTCCTCCTATTTTTCCTGTTTAGACGTTTCAACCCCCAGTATTCCCCTCCTCCATCTTCATGACTGATGTCTTCCACTATGTATGTACCATATTTCTATTATCCATTCATCAGCTGATGGACAAGTAGGTTGGCTCTACTTCCTCACCATGGCGAATAAGGCAACAGTGGACACGGACTTGCAGATATTTTTGTTGCAGAGTACAGAGTCCTTTGGGTATATTCCCAGGAGTGATACAGCTCGTTCATAGGGCAGTTCTATGTCTGACTTTGTGAGGGACCTCCACACAGTTTTCCATAGGTAATGAACCAGCTTAGCAGTGCATAATGGTTGTTTTCTCCCCCCCCATATATACACAAACACTCGTTTTGTTTTCTTTGTAATATCCGCTCTGACTGGAATTAGATGAAATTTCAAAGTAGTTTTAATTTGAATTCCCAGCTGGCTAAGGATGTTGAACATTTTAGAAATATTGATTAGTTATTTGTTACTCTCTGTTGAGAATTCTATTTCATTATTATATTGTTACAGTTCAGATAGAAAGGTATCCTGGCAGTTGGGAACCAAGGAATACCACCAAATCATACCACACAACAAACTGCATACAAGAGATTTATTGGGACAGAAAACCCCAAGAGGATGGCCACCTCTGCTCAGGTGATAAGCGTCAGAGGACTAGGTAATCCACAGGGTTTATATAGGATTTCTTGGTAGGGTGGGGACAGAGCTTTTCATGTGGCTTAGGATTGGAGGGATTATGGGGCCTGATTTTGGGCCAAGGTAAGAGATTGGTAGGATTCTTTCCTGTAGGGCAGGGCCATGCCACTAACCCTCTTTGGAGTTGGGAACAGCTGTTAGGACCATTAGGAAAGTTCAGGGGCGGGAAGTTCCTCAGGTCTGGACCTAGTCACTTGCATGCTTTGAAGGTTTACAAAGTATATAAACGTTTACAAAGGGAATATCTTCCCATAGCAGGTAAAGTTTTCCCTGTAGCTTGAGTTGGTGTGAAAAGCGAAGAGTTACCTGGACATTTAAAAAATTTGCTGCTTTATTTATATTCAGTTAAATGCTTTATATATTCTAGACACTGATCTTCTGTCAGAGATACAGTGGGCAAAGATTTCTTTGCATTGTATGTACTACCCAGATTTCCTTCGGAGAAGAGAAGCTTTTTCATTCCTGAAGATCCTGTTTGTAGATTGCTAACTTAACGGAAGACTAAAGTCATTTAAAAAGTCTTTACCTGTGTCTGTATCATTAAACATTCACCCTACTTTATCCTCTAGTAGTTTCATAGTTTGTGGTTCAACATTTGAGACCTATGATTTATTTTGATAATGATTGTTTTGTTTAGGGGAGAGGTGGGAATCAAATTTCATTATTTTACATATAGATATCTAGTTTCCCCAGTACCATTTGAGGAAAGGGGGCTGTAAACGTGTGTGAGGGATGGTGGTAGTGGTTGGTGGTGAGTGGTGGTGATTGTGGTTGGTGGCAGTTGATGGCAGCTGGTGGTGGTTGTTGCTGGTTGTGTGTTTCTTGTTTTGTTGGTTTGGCGATGGTGGTGGTAGTGATGGTGTGTTTTGGTGTTTTTTTTTTTTTTTTCTTCCTTATAAAAAAATTATATGGCTGTAGTTTTACGGTTTTGTATCCATTTCCTCTATTCTATTACATTAGTATATTTATCTATTTAGTGCTACTTTCATGTTCTTTTTACTATAACGGATCTATAGTACAACTTGAAATCAGAAATGGTGATACCTTTGGTAGTGTTCTTATTGCTAAGGATTCCTTTAACTATCTAAGTTATTTTGTGCTTCCATATAGATTTTAAGGTTCCTTTGTCTATTTCTATGAATAATTGCTATAACATTTATTGAGATTGCATTGAATTTGTGATTGATTTTGTTAGGATAAATGTTTTCATAATATTTTTATATTAATTAATTCAATTTCCACTTCAGTCATAGGCACTGCTCTCCTTTCCTCCCAGTACTACCTTCCCTCCCACATCCCCTATCCCCTATATAGGGGAGCATCCCTACCCAGACACCCCAGCTCATCTACTCACATGAGGACTGAGTTTGTTTTCCTCCCCTACGGCCTTGTATCAAAAAGCAGGCAACATAGTCTGTGTCAGAGATAGCCCCCATTCCTCTAACTAGTGGGCTGACATGAAGCCTAAGATGTCCATCAGACTTATTTTGTGATCTGTGCATTGCAGTATGTCTATCCGGTACTATATGACTAAAATCCATTTAAAAGTGAGTATATACCATGTGTGTCTTTTGCTTCTGGGATACCTCACTCAGGATGATCTTTTCTAGTTCCATCTATTTGCCTGAAAATTTCACGACTTCCTTGTTTTTAAATGGCTGTGTAAATGTACTAGTTTCTGTAAGCATTCTTCAGTTGAGGGACATCTAGGTTGATTTTAGATTCAGGCTATTACAAATAGAGCTGCTAAGAACATAGTTGATCAAATGTCTTGTATGGTGGAGCATCTTTTGTGTACGTGCCCAGGAGTAGAGGAGTAGTATAGCTGAGTCTTGAGGTAGCACTATTCCCAATTTTCTCAGGAAGCGACAGATTGATTTCCAAAGTGGTTGTACAGTTTGCACTCCCACCACCAATGGAGGAGAGTTCCCCTTTCTCCACATTCTCACGAGCATGTGTTGTCACTTGAGTTTTTGATCTTGGCTATTCTGAGAGGTATAAAATGGAATCTCAGAGTTGTTTTGATTTACACTTCCTTGATGACTAAGGACACTGAGCATTTCTTTAAGTGCTTCTCCACCATTTGAGATTCCTCTGTTAAGAATTCTCTGTTTAGCTCTGTACCCCATTTTTAATTGGACTATTTG